AAAAGGAGTGGACGTGAATGTAGCTCGGGGAAGGAGCACTTGGCTGGTGTGCATGAAGCCAAGTCCAGCACCAGCACCATAGAAAAGCGCTTAGAGTTGATAAGAGCTGGACTGGCGCATAATGGGTTTATTGGAAAGGTCAGCTAACATGAAGGAGTGAAAACCACATGCACACCTGTTAGCCAGTGCTGTTAAACTGGGGTCTCTCAGATGGAGTGTGAGCAGGCAGTGCTGGCTTCTGATGCAAACAAGAACTCCTGGAAAGAAGCTGTGTTTGCAGAGACTGACTGACTGATTGAAACTGTAGGCCTGTGGAGAGACTGGAGTGTCATGGGTCCAGGGGCTAGTCACCTTATCCTCGCTTAGTTTCCTTGCCTACCTGTGTTAGAACTAACATCTTGAGACTCAGAGATAAAAACTTCAACATCTGTTAACTTGGAAGACCCTCCCACCAGCCTACAGTTAAGAACGTCATCCTACAGCATCGTCGGCCGACAGAAAAGCTCCCCACCTGCAGCCAACTCTCTGATGTCCTCACCAACATATTTTAGACTTGTCTTGATTTATGACTCTCTTGGTTCTATAAAACCATAAAACTTCTCCAAGCTTCCACACTGGAATATGGAACTTGGGACAACGTAAATCTGTGTTCTCAGGCCACAATCTCTCACAATGGCTTCAGGATAAACTATCTCTTACTCCCTTTGAGATGAGAGCTGTGGTTTGTGTTGACAATGGCATCTAGATTCTTCTGGTCTGTCACGCTACCCATTTGTCTCTTTCCCTCTATCTTGCTCTGCATTGAACTTTCCAACCTGTTACCCTTTCTACCCAGATTCTAGACTGAAAATCCCCATACAAATATCCTATCCTCCTCCCATGAACCAAGCACTTTAGGCTGTGAATTTAAAATTAAGGATAACACAACTATTTTCTTTCTTTTTAAATATCTATCTATCTATCTATCTATCTATCTATCTATCATGTTATGTGTATTGGTGGTTTTGCTTGCATGTATGTCTACGTGAAGGTGTCAGATCCCCTGGAACTGGAGGTACAGACAGTTGTGAACTGCTATTTGGGTGTTGGGAATTGAACCCAGGTCCCTTAGAAGAGCAACCCAGTGCTCCTAACTACTGAGCCATGTCTCTAGCTCCCCTCAACTATTTTCTTTTCCTTTCTTTGAGACCTGGTTTCAATACATAACCTGGCCCCTTCAGCCCTGGCAATTGCTGAAATTTGTCCTCACACACACCCTAGCCAAAATTATTTAGATGAAGACCAAAGCCGTAGGTGGAGGATTGTGTCATGAGCAACAACCTACGGTCACGGTTTTCAATTCACTTTCTCCTTAGGGCTGGGGATTGACATAGTATCTGTATGTAGCCCAGCCTGGCATTGAGCTCTGGGCAATCCTCAGATCTCACTCTCCAGAGCTGGTATTATCAGACCAGAGTTTCTTCTTTCCCTTTTTCTGGTTTCAAGACATCATTGCCAGAGTCCACTTACAACACTGAAAAAAAGAACGGGAGGGAGTGGGCTTCCTCTCTGCACTGAGAGGCTGGGCTGGGAATGGAGGGCCACGCCTGCACAGGTTCCTACTCAGCTTCCTGCTCTTAACAGGTCGCATTGTCTCAGGGCTGAGAAAACTGGCTCCCTGGTGAAAGTGTGTGTGTGTAAAAAGGGGGGCCAAGACATAGGGACAGAATTGGAACAGGGCTGAGAGCAGGGCTGGGAATAAAAAGGCAGGCCAGCTCTCACCAGTGAGAAAGGAGAAAACATCAACAATAGAATCTCACACTCATAGAGCAGGCCTGGCAGAAATGAGGGCATTCTAAAGAAACCTTTGTCTCTCAATCAGACCACTGAAACAATGAACCCAAGAATGGCATACTGGGAAGGAAAAGGCCCCAGCAGGAGAGGAGCTTGTCTCCCAGGAAGAGATTTCACACAGCTCTAGCTTTTCACACCACCCTCCAGAACAAGACTGAAGGCCAGGCAGTGATGGGCAAGGTGGGAGGGGCCACACCTTGGCAGGACTGAGGTGGGTGGGGCTACACCCTCATCAGGACTGAGGTGGGTGGGGCCACACCCTGTCCAAGACTGAGGTGGGTGGGGCCATACCCTGACCAGGACTGAGGTGGGTGGGGCCACACCTAGGCAGAACTGAGGTGGGTGGGGCCACACCCTGACCAGAACTGATTAAATGCTGTCTTTGTTTGCTTCCTAATGCTGTGATGAGGGATGGAGGGAAGGGTTTGAATTTACAGCTTATAGTCTTTCACTGGGGAAGCTGAGGCAGGAGCTGAAGCAGAGGCCATGAAGGAGTACTGCTTATTGGCTTGTTACCCAAGGCCTCCTCAGCTAGTTTCTTACATATCCCAGGACCAACATGCCCAGTGACGGCATTGCCCACCGCTGGCTGGGCCTTTCACATCACCAATGAAGAAAGTGCCCCACAGGCTTGCTGACAGGCCAATCTGACAAGGACAAATTTTCTCAGCTTAGGTTCCCTCTTCTCAGAGGACTCTAAGATCTGTCAACTTGACAAAAACCTAGGCAACATGGATGTTAAACTTTGCTCTCTCTTTAGGACCATAAAGATGGACTCGTGGAGTCATTGACTCTTTGGGCCTCACTCCAGTGTGGCCACACTGAATAAATCTCTCTCTCTTTTACCCCTGCATTACACTATTAAACTGACTCTTGTGATTGGCTTATTGAAGACAGGTAGCCAAACCTGGCTTGGGGCACAGGTTGTGACCCCCAACTTAAATACTATCCAAAGCCCAGGAGGTTAGAGGCAAGCCTGGGAGGACAGTGCTTGTCATTAAAATAGGGCCGACTGGAAGCTGAGAGAAACTGCTATGTTGTGTGTGTGTGTGGGGGGGGGCTGTCAGATCACAGCCATCTACGGCAGCCTCTCTCAGAGCTTCAGTGAAGGAGATGTCAAGCCCCAGATGAGCCTACGCAAGGCTCTTAACCTCAAACAGACTTCAGTGCCAGGATTCTTGGAGAAATGGCAACCTAATTCTCACTTCCCCAAGGAAGTTAACAGGCCCCAGACACCTTTAGATACCAAGATATCTGAAGGCTACCAGTGCTCCCACTCCCCACTAATAAAATGGGTACACAGTTAGTAAATGTGCCCCTCCTCCTAACTCTCTAAGTCACTCATCAGCAAGATACCTCTCTTCCCAGCACTGCAATACTTCCCCTCCTGCCCAAGAAGTGGAGAAAGCCCGACTGCAGGTACATACTGTAGTATACACAACTGCGACCAGACGCCATGACACCTCCCCCTTCTCAAACGGACCCCGCTCTGTCTCCTGTCTCACAGACCCGAACTCTCCTCAGAGCCCCTGCCACGCTGTCCACCTCGGGCATGTATGTCTGTGGTGTTACTGAGTATTCCAATGAAGCTTTATCCAAAAGGATGATCGGCCTCAGTGTGTCCCCTTGAACTCCAAACCCAGCACCGTTCGGGTACCTGTCCAGCTCTGAGGGGAAAAACAAACCTTTTACAGGCCAAATGGCAGAAAGGAGACGATGTGGCTGGACTCAGGGTGGTGTGAATGGCTCCCAACATGCCCATATGTGTGTGTCCCAGCGATGGGCTGCCTATGGGTCCGGGTGGGTGTTCAATGGAGCCTCTTCAGGGGGCTAAGCCTTCTGCAATCTTGTCCCCAGCTGGACAGACTCACAGGTAGAGAGCCTGGAGTCTTCCAACCACCAGCAGTGACTCATTACCAGGGCATTATAAATACAAAGGCTTGGGGCCCGGCCTCATTGCTGTTAGAGACTGAATGTTTTGTGTTCTAACTGAATTTACCCTCAGTGCAGAGACAGGCCTCTAAGGAAGCAATAATAGTTAAATAAGGTCCCAAGAGTGGGTCCCTGACCCATTAGGATTAATGTCCTAAGAGACACCTGAGAGCTCACTGACTCTAGCCTGTAGGCATCCTCTGAGTGAGTGGTTGTCCACAAGCCAGGCCAGAGCCTGGAACAGAAACCAGGCAGGGGGTGGGGGGAACCCTGACCTTGGACTTTCCCGTCTTCCAAATGCTACAAAATCCTGTCTTTGGTGTTTTGTTGTTAGTGATCTGGGCTGAAAGTACACTTCCAGGGTGGGTCCCATACATCTACGCTCGAGAAACTCTACATGTGACTTCCACAAAAGTCTTACACAAATGTCATTCTTCTTCCTCTTTTTTTGTTTTGTTTTGATTTGTTTTTTGAGATTTCTCTGTAGCCTTGGAGCTCTGTTCTGGAACTCCCTCTGAAAAGAAGGCTGGCCTGTCTCTGCTTCCCGAGTACTGGGATTAAAGCACACACTACCCCACCACAAAAGTCACCCTTGAGAAATGCCGGTCTAGTCATGAGCTGAGACTCGATTAGAACATCCATGCTTCACAGCTAGAGAAAATCCAGAAAACCTTAGAAAGAAGGCAGCTATTCCGAGGATGTGGATTGAGAATTCTCTTCCCTAGAGCCACAAAGTGGCCTCATGGTTATTACTTCTCAAATATATCCTGCAGTGCTAAAACCTCAGACAAGAGACCCTAATTGTGAAAACACATTTGCCTCATTTGCTCACTGAGCAGAGAGCTCCTGTTCTTTTCTTCCATGGACAGCTTGCAGGAGCAGGCCAGATTCTACCTCTGCAACCACTGGCTCTCCCTCTTACAGTATCCTGAGGAGCTCTGCTTTATAACCCTTGTGTTTACAGCAATATGCAAATTAACTAAAGGAGACCCTCTTTCCACACAGCCATCTGACATATGCAAGGATGTGTGCTTTTCTTGTAGAGAGAGATGTGGAGTACACCCCAGCTTGGGGGCAGGGTATAAGAGGATCAAGAGGGTCCTTATAGGGTTTACCCAGGTGAACCCCCTTTCAGAAGAAAGGCATAGCCAGGCACCAGCCTCACAGTCAGCTGGAGCAAGTCATGAAACAATCTCTCCCCAGACAAAAGCAGCCAGAGGCAGTACGGCACTTACTTCCAGGACTGTCCATTGTTCCACAACAATAGCGTCATAGCCCTGTGTGGTTTTGCTATCTTCTGTGGAAACAGCTTCAAAGATGAATACTCCATCTGTCAGGCCATAGAAGGCGTCTGGAAAGAACAACAACAAAAGCTGGTTTGGGGGGGGTGTCTGAGCTGTCTGTGGCAGAAGTCTTACAAACAGCAAGAATTTTCACTGCATTCATTAATAATCCCAATCAGAACATCTTTTCAGAATGTTAATTAGAGACGGCATACACAGCCGCAGAGTCTAGCCCCACCAGAATGAATGAGACTAAATTACCTCACGCTTCTGAATAATATCCTTGATTTTATGAGCCCAAATTTCGTCGGCAATCACCGTCAGATTCATGGGCTTACCTACCCGCTCATGCTCCGGGGTCAGGATGCACTGGGAAGAACTCACCCAGGGCAAATCACAGATTTTGGAGAAAAACTATATTTAAGTAAATGGGATTTTTTAAAGGGCTGTATAGACTCAATGTGTCAAATCTGAGCTCGTCAGTTGTGCTGTGGATGCGTTAATTCTGGGGCATTGGGGGTGCCATGTGGTTGATGTACTAAGGATGCTTCTGGCAGCTTTGCGGGGAGCTTCTCAAATGATTTAGCCCTGAAAATGTGGTTCCTGTGTACTCCACAGGTCCACAAGCCTACTTGGGTGGCCAGTGTCATTTGAGAATGCCTTAGAGATGGGGTCTGAAGGAACAGGGCAGAGCCTCTGCCCTGCAGAACACGTGCCTCCCCTTCTTCTGGGGTGTGGTGCGGTTTGTCCTGCGTTCATTTAGACAAGACTATGAGAAAGAGGATCAATTTAGATGCTGGTGGCCCAACTCCATGCAAGGGTCCCATTTAGTGAGTTGTCTGTGAAACAATTTATTCTGCCAACATTGCTCAGTCTCAAATGACCTGCTGAAGCCTTAACCCCAGCTCAGTCTCCACTGCTCAGTCTCAATGACCTGCTGAAGCCCTAACCCCAGCTCAGTCTCCACTGCTCAGTCTCAATGACCTGCTGAAGCCCTAACCCCAGCTCAGTCTCTGGAAGGGAAGATACCCCATGGTGCTTTACTTGTTCCTCCTACTCCCAGGTGGAAGAGCCAGCCAGGAAGAGAGCTCCAACTGGAAAGAGAACTTGCTGGCTCTTGGGTCATGAGCTTCTAGCCTCAATAAATGGAAGGGGCACACAGATGTCTACTTATTGAAGCCACCTACCCTGTGGGCTTACCCCCCCCCCCCTGCAAGGCTTTTATGTACATTCTGGGAATCTAGACTTAGGGCTTCATATTTGGTTAGCAAGAACTTTCTGTAGCACCCTTGTTTAGATTTTTTTTTAGTATTATATTGTTTTTAAGTAATTTTGCAAATAATGTTTTCAGAGAAATAGTCTTGAGAGCACTGATCATTGTTATGGCAGACTAAGAGAAATCAGATGGGGTGTCAGGGTGTCTTCTGGGGTGGCCACTTCAGACCTTATTGAACTGCTCTCCAGGAAGGGGTGCAGCTAAAACCGTTCTAAACAAATCAGTGCTCCTCTCCCTACACCTATGCACGTTCTAAACAAATCAGTGCTCCTCTTCCCTACACCTATACGCGTTCTAAACAAATCAGTGCTCCTCTCCCTACACCTATGCACGTTCTAAACAAATCAGTGCTCCTCTTCCCTACACCTATGCACGTTCTAAACAAATCAGTGCTCCTCTCCCTACACCTATGCACGTTCTAAACAAATCAGTGCTCCTCTCCCTACACCTATGCACGTTCTAAACAAATCAGTGCTCCTCTTCCCTACACCTATGCACGTTCTAAACAAATCAGTGCTCCTCTCCCTACACCTATGCACGTTCTAAACAAATCAGTGCTCCTCTCCCTACACCTATGCACGTTCTAAACAAATCAGTGCTCCTCTTCCCTACACCTATGCACGTTCTAAACAAATCAGTGCTCCTCTTCCCTACACCTATGCACGTTCTAAACAAATCAGTGCTCCTCTCCCTACACCTATGCACGTTCTAAACAAATCAGTGTTCCTCTTCCCTACACCTATACGCGTTCTAAACAAATCAGTGCTCCTCTCCCTACACCTATGCACGTTCTAAACAAATCAGTGCTCCTCTTCCCTACACCTATGCACGTTCTAAACAAATCAGTGCTCCTCTCCCTACACCTATGCACGTTCTAAACAAATCAGTGCTCCTCTCCCTACACCTATGCACGTTCTAAACAAATCAGTGCTCCTCTTCCCTACACCTATGCACGTTCTAAACAAATCAGTGCTCCTCTCCCTACACCTATGCACGTTCTAAACAAATCAGTGCTCCTCTCCCTACACCTATGCACGTTCTAAACAAATCAGTGCTCCTCTTCCCTACACCTATGCACGTTCTAAACAAATCAGTGCTCCTCTCCCTACACCTATGCACGTTCTAAACAAATCAGTGCTCCTCTTCCTACACCTATGCACGTTCTAAACAAATCAG